GGGGTGGGTCATGAGGTTTTGAGCCTTGTGCAAGGGGTGGGTCGTGCAATTTTCAGCTACCCTTAGGGGGTGGGTCACCCTATTTTTTACTAACTACTAACGAGACAGTTGACTACACTTGTCATATAAAACACAGCCAACTGGAATTATTGCTAAAATACTCACAAACCTGTTGTGCAAGAAAATACAAAGGTTGACAGGCCGCACATCTATTGCGGCTTGGAACCCTCTGTTAACCTTTTTTTTTTCGGCTCTAACGAGCATGTCCTTTAACGATTTCCTTTTTTTGTAAGGAAATGATTGGTGGTTCTTTAAAAATTTATTGAAGTTATAGTTGGTTTTGTATAAGATTCCATTTTTTTTATTCAAGCTTCCTTTATAGTAGACACTGAGGGCTGGTATTGTGTCACGAATGGCAATATTTCTTTTTCCTCCTTGTTGTTTTGCTTTAGGAGCCTAGACTCCCTTTTGTGAATTTTATTTCTGATAGTAGGTTTTCTATCAAAGATAGGGGGCACCCAATGAGAATATAGTTCAAAACCAATTTAAACAGTAGATATAGGCATATTTTTATCCCCTAAAAATTTTCAATCTGTTCGGATCTCCTAGCTGAAAGTCTAGTGATACGAAAATTATAGGGATCAAAACTTACTTTTTCGAAAATTTCAGCCAGAAAAAAGGCTCCCGAAAATTCTAGGTGACCTTTTTAGGGTAAAAATCCGTTAAAAATGGGAAATTATACCGATTTTTAAGATGTTCGAAAATCCTACTGAGGGGTAGACAAGCAAGAAGTTCTACAACAAATGTTCCGAAAATTCTGGATCTTAAATCGTCTTTTGAACAGATATTTTCCGAAAATTGACGTTGGGTGCCCTTGAAAGATTGTGGGTAGCCTCCGTCCGTCAAGCGTTTTTTTTAAAATTTGAATTATTTTCCTCAAAGATTGTTTCTGAGGAATTTTTTCGTACGATTCTTAAGGCTTCTCCTTTGACAAATTCTTTTTTTAACATTTGGAGGGTGACACTAGTTGAAATGTGTGTCTTCAGTGAAAGGTTTGATTTCTGTGATTTTGATATTGGTTGTAGCAGTGTATCAACAATTTTGTCAAGCACAGAACAAGGTTTTATTTGATTATTAAGAGGAAACCGAACATCCATGTTTAAACTAGGGGGTGGGTCATGCAATTTCCAACCTTGCTTTAGGGGTGGGTCAGTCATTTTTGTGCCGAAGGGAGGGGGTGGGTCATGTGTTTTTTACCAACCACATTTCCAAATGCTCCGGCCCACCCCCCCCCCCCTATACTTTTTGACCAGTCCCCAACACCAATTGTCTTAAATTATCATTGTAGCCTTTTTAGACATTTGCTAGTCCTGTTAATATACATCTTTTACCATCTGATTATATCTTGCAGACTAAACGTGAGATTTAATATGCAATCATGTGTTCATTCTTTTTTTTTTTTTTTTGCCCGATCGACCGACCCACCTTCACGAGAGGGAGGGCGATGGGAAACGAAACATTCTATGGGGATGGCCCAAGTAAATGTTTGAAATTTGAATATACACAATAGACAGAGTAATAAAGAGGTCTTTTTCTCGTTGGAATTTGTGAATATATTACTTCACATGGAGGCTAAGGCTGTAAAAAATACGTCTTCACTTCTTTAATTCAGAGGTCATAGCGAACTAGGGCTATTATTCCAGGAGTGCGCGTTGGTATCTACCATCCCATATCAAACAGCTCAAGTGGAATAATTGTTTTATTAAGAACGTCCACCAAATATCGAGAATTCTCTCCGACTTTATTTGTAAAAACAAACGATTTTCAGCTTGTTTTTAATTTTGAGCAAACGCGTACAGTCACAATAATTATTTGGAGAGCATGGTATGATGGCTCATACCATGCTGGCTAATCCAATCAGAGCTCTAGAATTGCATTATCCAATGATAAAGTTTTTAATAATATCCAATAAAAAGGCGATAGCGTCTGCAAACAGTCCCACTGCAATTGGAGACAATACCGACTCAGCCTTATGCCAATAAACTAGCATCGAGCACAACATTACTGGAAATAAGAGGGCAATAATGTTAAGGTGAATCTTAAGGTCGGCTACTTAAACGACGTCTAACAATAAGAGGATCGCCTAATCCGTCGGTAGGGTACACATTTCAAGTAGATAAATGGTTTTCTAATTTGGGCTGTCGCCTTCTTGTTGATATGAACAGCAAACGATGCTAAGGTATGAACGTTAGAACGGTGTTTTGTTAAATAACGTCTAAACTCTGTTGTAATATCCGCCCCCAAAAGACCAGAGACGGGATTAAATACTCACCAGAGCTGTTTGAAGAACCGCTGATGACAGGACCAAAAGACTGACCACACCCTTGGTGTAGAAGAGGTGGTGCGGCCAATGGCAAATTCTAATGACTTCTTTAACTCGCTCCTTTAAAGAGAAAAGGAAAAAAGCCTGAAACATATTCACACTATGATTGTGAAAGATACACACAACCGTTAATTCTTAGAATACCGACTGTGACTGTTGTTTTCCTTTTGCTTTGACTTAAACAAATGCATAAGTTTTGAGTGCAATTTCTACGAAATCACATAAGTTAATCCCGGAGCCCTGGTACAAGAAACCACTGAATGATTCCATCTTAAGTTGTGGTCTACTTAAAACAGTTAATACGAAGATTTAACCTTGTTACATTGCCATACGTACCAAACGTGAACTGCAGTGTCATAAACCTTTATCTGTTGCGCAGTCAGTGTCGCCTCAACATTAACAAACTGCAGAAATGCGACAAAAAAGCATTATCAAAGTTTGTTAACAAAAAAGGAACAGAAGTGAAGAAATAAGTATTGCAAAAAAAAGCCTTATATTTCAGTATGATAGAAAAAAATATTGTTACAACAGAAAATTACGACGCCATTTCTAAAATTATACATTACCTCAGCCTGTCTGAAACTAAGACCTCTAGAAACGTACATCCCTGATGCCTTCATTTCCATAGCTAACATTTCAGAAGCACCTGGAAAGATTTTAAATATTAGTGACCTTGAGATACATCGTTTCTGCCGATGGAGAAGTGTAAGCTCCTGTTCCAGGAGTTCAGATTGTGAGGACGACGCAAGGAGATGTGTGCAGAAAAAACAGCGAGGGGTGGGGTAGGGAGTGAGGGCGAAATTCGTTCCTCTCTCCCTCTTTCTCCTAATTTTTTTTTCCCGTTCTCTAACTTCGCACCACACTCCTTTATTTCAAAGCCTGGAACAGGCTATATAAAAGGCGACCATGATTTCCGAGACGTGGTAATAGCATCGCCATGGCGCATCACCGTTCTAGCCAGTAGCCTAGCTAGCCGTCTCTCCACGGTTATAGTACAGGTTGTCTACCCATATTTTAGGCTAAGGTTTCGAGTAATTTGCCAAAGCCGGTACAAGGAAGCGCTGCACAGCTAAGCATTGTACGGCAGGCAGGAGTTCTTGGAAAAATGACCAGAAACGCACATGTATTACTTCCCCTTGGCTTAGATCGAATCATTTGATAGCTTTCTTTTTAGAGTTCCAAGTATGGAAAAAGGTGACTGAGAATACTTAGTTACAATTTCAGCTCAACTTTGACAAGAATTTGGAAGTCGTCTTGATATAACCCCTTTATCCCATTGAGTACCAAACGTGATTAACATCAATTTTCTCCTAAAAATATCCATACATCATTACAAGAAAAAGTTTAGAGAATCCATAAAATAATCACTAAAATCTCTCAGCTAATTCTTTAAGGAAAGGTAGGGGGATCAGTCGGGAGAATTTGTATGTGCATCATTGGGGCTGAAGATAGACAGCGAGCAGTCTCTCTTTTTCTTCAGTTTAGTGAGGGGAGTGTACGCGCGCGAGAGAGCGTTGCGCGTGGTCATTTGCGTGTCTCGCGCGTTTTCCTCGACGGACTTGGAAAAAAGAGAGAATGCTCATAGTCTAGGCTGAAAACTATACCACTTACCAAGACCTCTCTTAGTTATGCTGATTAGAAAAGCATCAAACGATTTAAATGCTGTTCCATCTCCCCATAAACCAAGTCTCTCCATAAATGCCTGGAAATAATCAAATCACTATATCAGTGTACTGTATTGATTGACCGTTGAACTGAAGGGGAACATCGTCAGAAACCTAAGGCTTCTAGACATGGTTGCCGTAATAATCTCTCAGCAATTATTGTAGGGTTTAAAAACTTCACGCAACAAGAGTCTTTGTGCTCTTCTACTGAATACCTAGAAATCATGTACCTTAAACCAGAGTTTAATACCATCAACTGAGGTGATACAACTGACTTTGACCCCGACACCCTGTCCACACGTATCCGGATATTTTCGAAAATGGGGATTTTTTCTCGATTTTCAAAAAAAAATAGGCGTCTACATGACTCTTATTTGAATCGTTTTCGCCTGTCCACATGAAACCCTAAAACGATGGAAAGACGATAGCATCCCTTACAGAGTGTGCGTAATGCTAGTAGTATTATGGTGCATGACATAATCGTGTTCACAAATCTCCGTTTTCGACCGCCCACTTTAAACGAGAAGCCGGCGTTTTAAAAAATCTCCACTCTGGGTCTGTTTTTGAAAAGGCCGTTTATGTGTGGATGGAGGCAAGAATGGAGAAAAAAGTCTTCATTTTCAAAACTATCCCGATACATGTGGATAGGGCCTGAAGACCTGTCGAAACGTCAATCACTGTCAACAACAGTCCTGTTCAGTACACTCATCCCGACGATCATATAATTAACGTCAGCTGCATCTAAGGGTGTACACGTGAGGAAAAAAAATGTTCTGATTGGCTCCAAACTTACCTTTGGCTTGACAGTTTGCTTTAACGCTGTCAAACTTCAGATGTTTGGCGGCAAAACACGTCATGTCTGGCACCCTATTAGAACATGTTTTTTTTTTTGTCTTCTGTCCACGCTTAGATGCAACCGATAGTATTTCGCCTTAAAAAATCTTTGTTCCCCGGTACAAGATCAAGTCGCAAGATCAAGTTTCACTTTAAAATTTTAACTTTGTACAGTGGTATCATATAAGATGCTAACTGCGTACAGCGTACTTTAAAAGGTACATGCCAACCTTTACTTAGTGCATTGTTTGCGAAAAACTAGCAAAGTAAAGTTGGATACCTTTTAACAGTAACATGCTGTTTCCTGACACTCAGTCAAAATCAAGTTATTGTCAATTATATAAAATAATACTTTCTCTACACCTACCATATTTTTTACATCTGTCACACCAGTTGCACTACAGTACACAACACGAGCTTTGGATAGCATTCTATAAAGTGAAAAAAGAATAAATCTGTAAAGAGGAGAAAATTTGGGCACAGCAGTTACTGAACGGGAAGGGGGGGGAACTCTGTAGAGACAGTAAGGAGGTCAGGTATATTTAACAATTATTCCACAAGTGCGTGTTGGATATGAGTTGGCTATAATCATCTTATATCCGAAATAATTGTTTTACTAAAAACGCCCGGAAAATATAGAGAATTCTTCCTGACTTTATTTGTAAAAACAACCGATTTTCAGCTCGTTTTTAATTTTGAGCAGATGAGTACAGTTACTTTTAATTAGCTCACTTGTCACACCTCCCCTCCCAACGTTTATGGCATCAACTCTGGAAATTGAACTCAAGCCGCATTGGTGGGAGGCAAGTGCTCGATTACAACTGCTCCATCGCTGCTCCCTGCTTCTTTCAAATTGTAAAATTATTAGCACTTTAATTATTACATTAGAGTGTTAATTACATGCTAACAATTGATATTCAAAAATGAAGTCGAATAACTTTATCATACCTCTGTATTGTTGTGACAGCAAGAGCAACTTTTGTGCTGGATTCTTCTTTGCCCTAAAATGAAATAAGCTACAGTGAGCAGAGTACTTAGTTGAATCCATGACTTGTAAAATCTGTCTCTGGTGTTAATATGCATCATTGGTGTCAATTTGCATGTGTGGAAAGTGTAATGGTTGTGCATTCATTAACAAGTGCAACAAGACCAATTGCATTCTCAAGAAACCCACTGTGCAGTCAAGCTTTATGTGAACTATATGTAATGTAAAGGGAACACAAACTGTTGTCCTCTCATCCACTTCATACAAAACGTAACTTGAATAATGATGATCACATAGTAGCAGTTTCTAATAAACCATGCTTTTTGCCCTAAATAAGGTATTTACATGCATTTGTTGCAGTTATGAATGCGAAGAATAAGGGCTAAACTACTGTAAATTACTTACAGGAACAAAATGCTTTGCTTTATGACACTCGTCAAATATGAGGCATCCATTAAACTGCTCACCACCGCACCAGTCTATGAGCTGTTGCAATCTGCTCTGACGATTAGCACCTGTCAAAAAGATAATAAAACAGATCAACAAAAAGAGGAACCTTGTCTATTGTCAGTGATAGATGACATTCATACTGCATGCTCACCTTTTTGAACAGACGACACCAGTGTTGCGTATGTACTAAAGACAACACCCTCTTTAAAATCAGCAGGTAAGCCAAATACTCTGTAAAATAAAATAATGTCAATGCTATACGATTTGTTTTAAAATTCCTACTGATCTATTATCATTGTCAAATAAACCACAGAATATTGGTTCTATAGAGAGATGTGTGATGTCATATTACCATGTAAGCAAGATTTCTGGATCAATAATCTTCCTTGACAGAGACAGACGGCCATTTGTATTGTCCAATGATGGAAGGAAAATACCAGCGACCCTTTCATTCCTAAGAGTGATAACGCACAGAACATTTTTTGTTGTTGTTTTTTCCCCACCATATTGGCAGGACCACAGTTCACTGAGACCCAGAAATTTTGCTACCATGGCAGTGTGACTTCTCCTTTTCTTTACACTGTAGGAAGCAATAGTTGGCTTGGAAAGATTTTGGATCACATTATCACTTGGGGAAAAAATAATACACCTGAATTGAAGGAAAATGAAAATTAATGAAACTTGCATACACAGATTAGTTTGAAAAAGAACTCTTAGAAAATAATTATTAAGAAAAGGAATTTATGTACCTTGTCCAAGAATATTATTGTGTTACATAATGATAACAACAGACACCAGCCAGTGTAGATAACTTGTAGTATTCAGAGAAAGATTTAAAAAATTCCAAAAGAGAGAGAACTCTGAGAGCATTTCATCCAAAAATTGAGATTCTGGAAGACAGACATTGAGAGAATTTTTTCTTAAATTTAACAAGATTTAAGACAAAAAGGCAGCGGAGGGCATGGCCCTCTAGCCCCACTCTAAATAATGTACCCGTGGTATTCGAGTTCATGCACCTGGTTTCTTTATCCAGCTGCTGACAACCGTCTATCACTTTGACAAAACAACCAATGTCATGCAAATCTCTGACAAATGAAAAACAATCAGGAATTGTTAGTTTCTAGGGTTATAGTATTTTACAGCTATACAGAGATAGCAATTACCAGCATCCCTGATTTCGTAACAAACTGCTATAGGGATTCACATCATGAAAACTCTGTCACAGTCCAGAATCAGTGAATCCAAATCCAAAGCCGGTGATTTTATTGGGTCATTGGTGTGTAAATGCTTCTGTTTATGTCTTATAAGCTGTAATAAAACCTACCTTGCCAATAAGTCATAGAGAGCAGACTTTTTCAAAAGGTATTTTTTGGAAAAATTCCCAGGAGTGAATGGTTAAAATCATTGACTTAAAAGATCAAAATTCCATTGAATACATAACCAGACTTTGGCTAAAAAATAATCTGAACACACCTTTGGGCATCTAATCGTAGGTCAGCTGAAATACTAAACCATATATGTCTGGATCTTCCACGTGCAAAATTGTCCAACACAATGCCAGCAATCTACAGTAGAAAACAACTGCAGTGTAATCTTGACTACAAATTTAATGGGCTTAAAGTCAAACAGTTCTATATTCAAGGTTTGTACGACTTCAGACAAACAAATTTCTAGGACATTTCAAGAATTTTTCAAGGACAATTACAGTTTTCAAGGACTATGATATTTCTGTTAAATCGTAGGCATTCTTTAACCCCCTTTGATCACCCTATTGGCTAAAACATGTCATGGACAGGGCTTCTGATATTTTGCGGAAAAAAAAAAGCAAGATTTTGTGGGATTTTCAGGGGCAAATTCGCGCAAAAATTGGACGATTTTGCAGGATTTCCGCGGGAAAAAAGTCAAAATTCGCGGAACAATCGGCCGATTTCGCGGGATTTTAGCGGTAAAAAGTCAATTTTCGAAGGATTTTCAGGGGCAAATTCTTAGAAAAATCGGCCAAGAAACAATCAGTAAAAAACAGCTGATTTCGCTGGATTTTTTTTTGGCAAATTTCGCTAAAATTGATCAATTTTGCATCAATATGACCAGTGTCGGTGAACGTTTCTTTTAACAGGGATAATCATTTGCTCTTTCAACAACAGTTCGCTGGAGAAATGAGCGAATGCTATAGCTATTAACATTATGGTTAGTGCCCAGTTTTTCGCAACGTTCATCTAAAAACGCCTGATAGTTTTGGGACGTTGTTTACCCGTTGCAGTGACGAAGTTTCAAGCTAAATTTGGACGTTTGGTGTGAATGAAACTGGTCTAATAGCCAAGATAAGCATTAAATATGTTTTGCCGACATGTATTTGGAAATATTTCTAGCAGATTTCGCGGTATTTCGCGTTTTTTGGGGAATATCGGGGGATTTTGTGGAAATACCTAAATTTTGCGGGTCCGCGACCGCGCGAAATATCAGAAGCCCTGCATGGAGTCATTTACGATTTTGACTTCTTTGGCCATATCATTGATCACATTATTTTATACTCCTTTCCATAACAAGACTTTGCAAAATGACTGGGTATGACATGCAATTGCATCTGAGGTGCAGAAATTAAGCATCGTTACCGTGAGTTTTACAGGTTTATTCTTACACCAAGGATGAGCCGAATTCTCCTCGGCAAAATAACCTAATTTTACAGAAAAAGGTGTCTGGCGTAGACAAGGTTGTGAATTTCAAGGACTTTTTATGACCTAATAAAGAAATCAAGTACTTTTCAAGGACCTAAACCAAATTCAAGGACTTTTCAAGATGACAGTAGTAGTAGAATTAAGACCTTTTCAAGGTTGTACGATCAACCATGTATGTTCTTTTTCACGCCTGTACCAACTGTCACACCCTACCAACTGATCAAAGATTAATAAAATGCCATAGCAACTCCAATTCTTGAGTGGTTTCACGCGGTTTGGAGGCAATGGAAAACACAAGTGATATCACATGGTTTTTAAATGAAAATGAGGCAAGAGCTTTTGCGGGCATGAAAATGAGGTAAATTTGCACCCCAGTGAAAATGGCCACCATTCTTGATTATTGTCTACATAAACAAAGTAACAGTTCATTGACCATGTAGTAACAGCATGAAATTGTACATATACGAAATATACTCACTTGTCTTNTAGTAACAGCATGAAATTGTACAAAAACGAAATATACTCACTTGTCTTCCTTTTCCAACACCAGCACCATCGCCTATAAAGAATCCAGCTCTCTGTCCATTGGCAAGGACCATCTGATGTCTTTGACACTAAAAATCAACAGCAGTTTATAAAATGAATTTTTCATGCTGTTTAACTTGATTTTATTACTCAAGACCATGACTGTGCAATAACACACTCTCTGCTACCACATATCCCCAGCAGCTGGAACGGTCTTTTTTGTAATGAATTTATTTTTAGCTGGCAATCCATCTTTTCCCAAATATTTTAAATGCTTAATGTGGACAGAAGAAAGAGCTATACAAAAGCCGACAAATGTTGACAGAGTTCTTGATACTAATAAGGTGATATGTGATATTAACAATTATACTTACAGCATACAAAACTCCTTCCAGTTGCAAATCACTTAGTTTGCCTGATGTAAACAAAAAAAATAGGCTTATCACCGTTTCCCTTAATCAATATTATTACAAAATTATCACCTAAAATACGATCAAACCCCTCCATGCAAAGACCTCTATAAGGTCTTTTCATCCTAAAGCCTCGTGCAAACGGATGCAGTATTGTCGGCCAACAGCTCTCAACATTGTTGAATGTTACATGTTGCGTCCATTGGCACACCCTGTTGCATGTTGTTGCAATGTTGTTGCGATGTTGTTGGGAGTTGTTACACATACTTTTAGCCATGTGCAAATGGACACAACAATTCTCTCTCTTGCACATTATAGCTTAAAGACATCTAACTTTATACATATTACTTTACCTAAATAATTAAAGCAGACACCTCTGTAAAGTGGACACTTGGTTCTGTCCCTTTGGTATCTGATTAAAGGAGGAGGAGGGGGCAAAGCTGCTGTAAGTAACAGCTAACTATATGATAAATCCCTTCTTTTCAAGAAGTGACCAAAGTGTCCCATTCAACAAAAATTTCAAGTTTCATTTTTAAAGAGTTTTTACATGTAAATGTGGAAAAAAAACCATTAGTTTTTTAGTCTGGTGCCATGTGAAAGTATAGTTGAAGAGGTCTCATTTGAATGGTGGCACATGTTTTTCACGGGTATCATCATTCTTTTAGGTCTCAATGGTCTTTATGGGTGCTTCTGATTCTTGAATTTAAATTGGTTTCCTACATTGTACTTCTTATTGGCATCATGATTAATCGGTCTCCTGTCTCAGACGCTGGTTCATGTACTTGTGGAGGATCTCAAAACCCAGGAGAACTACATGTACAAGAACCAGGATAACAGGAAGAGCCATGAGAAATACCAACCATGAGAATCAGGAATACCAGGCATAACAGAGAGCCACAGAGCAAAGGAAACTAAGAGAACTTGAGAGCCACAAGTACCAGAGACTCGAAGAAGCAAGAGAATCAGAACCAGGATGTTGGTCAAAGTAAATATGTCAATTATCATCACCTGTCTCTACTAAATCTTGTGAAAGCGATTTAAACAACTGGTATTTAGCTCGTGGTAGCTGCTGTGCCTAGAAAAGAGAGGGGACACATTAAGTCAGTGGCCATTTTATTGTGCATTCACTTTGAAAAGATAATCATCAGTATTAATGAAACAACCTTGTTTTTGCAAAATGAAACAACCTTGTTAAAAACAAAAATATAAATGGTGCAGACAGTTGAATGTTGTAAGAATAAACTGTTCTCAGATAACATGGAATATATTATCTTTGTCCCCTACAAATAATTGAGAAAAGCATGATATCACTTTACCATGGTAACAAGATTTCTGGATCTCAACAGTCCTTCTTTCAAGACAGAAATGGCCATTTCATGATTTGCATTGTTGAATGATGAAAGAAAAGTCCTAACTGCAATCATAGGAAAGGCATACATGTCACTTTTTTTGTATTTTTTTTCTCTCATAATTGCAGGGCCACACTGCTGAGATCCAGGAGTTTTGCTAGTAAGCATGGCAACATGACATAATGACTTCTCTTTGTTGGGACTAGGTAATAAAGAAAATTCTGACTCAAACAAGGTCTTATAATGCTTGTTTAACCACACTAGGGACAAATTTTAGCTACAACAAATCCCGGTTTGATTTTCAAGCTATTTCAAAAAACATTTAGTATACATACTTACCGCCAAGCAACCAGCTTCTACAATATCCCCCGGATGATGTTTAATTCCTTTATGATTTAATGAGTTGCAAGCATAGCTTGAGAAGACATCTTCACTGTAAACAAAACAACAAAATGAAATGAGAAAACAGTACTGTACAACTGATCAATGGATTAGTAAAGGCTGCTGGTATGCACTGCATGTTGATCATGATTCTGTGACTGTTAAAAAAACAACCAACCAATGATTTATTGCTTTATTTTTTTCTCCTTGAGTATTTGATCGATATTTTGACTAAAAAACCCTTCAGAAAAACTTTCCTTCTATTACTATTACTGAACCAATCAGAAAATCTCTCAGGCAAGCCCCGTAAAAAACCTCATCGATTGAGATTAGCCGGAGGAGGCGGGGGGGTGGGGAGGTTTGACATAAAACAGAAACAATGAATATGGACATGAAATAAATCAAGCTAAGCTTGAGCTCGTGTGCATAACCACATTTTAAAATTTCAGTAAGTTATCTAAGTTAAATAAGTTTCCTCCATTAGTAACACAACTAAGCGAAACCTTACTACATAAAAGAAAACCTAACGAAGGGTACAAACCTTCGACTTTCTGCCACAACGCCGTGCGCCATCTTGTTGAGCTCTTCGTGTTCCTCGCTCGGGTTTTCAGTGCGATTAATTACAACCCGGCGTGGCGGAACAGGTGATTCTGGACTAGATAGAGCCATGGTTACCTTCTGATTATAGCAATTTAGAGGAAAAAGCCATCATTTTCGGTATTTTTACACTCAAATCCTTCTTGTGGTGAATATTCTCTCGTTTCCCGCATTTTTGATTATTACCGCCATACCTTGCGGGCGCAAATAAGCCTAGGCCCCAGATCGTCTGTGATCTGTGCCTGGGGTTATCGATTCCACCCATCACTCTCCCAAAGGACAGGAAAGTTGGGATAGCTGTAAGTACGTTCAAGCAAGATTTCTAAAACCTGAAGCACTCGAAGCCCCAAGCACTGCAAAGGTTTTTCTGCTCAAGAAGATATTTTTCGTACTGCATCAGTTCAAGTATGCCGTATCCTCTATTAAGCCCCCCTCTCAATCTCTAATAAGGCTCCACCCTCCAATAAGCCCTCGCCCCCTTTTCTGGGGAAGAAAGTCAGTAAGTCCCCCCCTCTCCTCCCCTAATTATTCTTCACTAATAAATGATAGACTGTATAATCAATCTCGACCGTCAAACTTCGTGTGCACTGAGACAGAATGGTTCATTTACCAACTCTGGAAGTTCAGATTTGGTTCTGATCCTAGGGTGCATGACCTCCAACCTTCTTGTACTTGAGGTTTTCCACTTTGTACTCTAGTTCTTTAAGGAGAACTCATACCATCATCTTTTCTAAATTAAATAAGCCACCCTTCTCTATTAAGCCCCCTCTTAAATGGGCTTGAAATTCCTTAGATCCTCATGGCCCCTCAGTCCCATCAACTCAACGAACATTTTTTCATTCCATTGTTGGCGGCTTACTCATGTTTTTTTTTTTTTTTTTTTTTTTTTTTTTTTTTTTTTA